GTATTGAATTGTCCTGTACGTCAATGTGAGTTTAATATGTACAGTTTGTCATTATACAGAGCTGTTTCAAATTTTACTTGGAGAATCACCTGATAAAGAAACCACACGATACAGTGTTCCCTCCCTCAACGATCTGTCATTAGACAGCCACAGAAATCGAGATTTGAATACCTACCCAGCCGCAAAAAACAAACAACAACAACGAAGTAGCGATATTTTCTTTTCAGTAATTTCAGAACAATTTGGGAATATTTTATTTATTATTATTTTTCATCTATATCAGTTTTAACAAATTTTTTGTCCATGACTTGAAAACACAATTTAATATAGATCAGATTATCTAGAAAAAGTAAAAAATGTGTTACTTTAATTTAACTGTTTCATAGCTGTTACAGTGGCACACCGTGTGGAAATCAAATGTCCCAATTTTTGACTGTATAAATCTGGTAACCGTATTATTGAAAGTTAGTTTAGACATTATTTTGTAAGCACGAAACGAACTGTCCAAATGTATTGAAGATTACTAGAATAGAGGTAATGTAAAATCTTAAGCACTGTTTTCTGATTAACCCTTTTTTTTTCAAAGAGTGATAGCAATCTAGTCGTTGTTGTTAGCATTTTTCAGCACTGAATCTCTGCGTTTACATACACAAATAAACGCCTTATTAATCTAAACTTTATTACTTTGCCAGGACACACTTAGGCCTAGGTCTCACCTAAGCTTATGGCTGTCGAGAAGTCATAACAATACTATATTATGCTAATCATGACGAAATTATAACCATAATCATTATGATGAGTAATACTTTTTTATTATAAGAAAAGTGTGCTTTGAAAAATTCTGTAACAGTTATTAAGGTTGTTATTTCGCTTTAACGATCCGCGCTCATTAAATTGTATTTGTTTAACTCAGTTTTTAGAGCATAATAAGTGTGTTATTTTAAAACGAGCTCATGAAAATATTAGCTGTTAGGGACCATTTACAAATTACAAATAGTACTATATAATTTATTTTATATACCTTCCATTTTTACATTACAGTTGACCAGTTTATTTTATCTTTTATTTATTTTTTTATAAAGCATATTATTGTATTTTTACTCTGAATATTAGTAATTCTTTCTGCAGACTATGCTACTGAACTCAATGTGCAACTTGTACAATTAAAAAGCGTTATCTACCTTGCTGATACTGATCATCTGGTGTTTTTATTTTTGAAAGTGGAGGTAAGAAGCTTCTAGATCTACGTTCCTTTCGTGTGTGGAAGTCAAACAGAATTAACCATATTAGATAAACCACAGAGGTAATGAAATATACACTTGAAGTTAAATAGATAAACCAAGAAAAATAGAACAGATGTTAAAGTGTAGTAAGTTTAACACGTTTTAACGTGCAGCACAGTATATTGGGTACAATCAAGTTCCGTTTTAACATGCACGACAGTACACTGAGTACAATCAAATTCTGTTTTTAATGTTCAGGACAGTACACCGAGTACAATAAAATTCTGTCTTAATATGTAGGACAGTACATGAAGTACAATCAAATTCCGTATTAATGTTCAGGACAGTACATGAAGTACAATAAAATTCCGTTTTAACATGCACGACAGTACACTGAGTACAATAAAATTCTGTCTTAATATGTAGGACAGTACATGAAGTACAATCAAATTCCGTACTAATGTCCAGGACAGTACACTGAGTACAATCAAGTTGAATATATTGATACGTATTTGACACATTGTTAAAAAGCTAAAAAACAACAACAAATTCTATGTCTATACAGACAGACATACATACATACTATTGAGAAAGGGAGCTCCTCACATGTATTACAGGAGACATACATACATACATACTATTGAGAAAGGGAGCTCCTCACATGTATTACAGGAGACATACATACATACTATTGACAAAGGGAGCTCCTCACATATATTACAGGAGACATGAGTTAGGTAATTATTGGTAGTAAATAATTACCTAACTCATGTGTATAGACAGTGTAGTTAAAGGTTAATGTGGGTATTATTAAGTGTATTATGTGGGTATTATTAAGTGTATTATGTGGGTATTATCAAGTGTATTATGTGACTGTGGGTTACGTCTTCAATTTCGTTGTCAGCAGAAAATTTACGGACTAACAATGATAATAAATGGGGGTTCGATTCCCGGCAATGGACAGGGTGCAGATTGTGTAAATTTGAATTAATATAACAACATCAACTCTGTTTTTCTATTTTTTGAAACAGGATTTTTTTTTTCATTTGTGAAAAACGTTTTTGAGCGATTTTTTATTGTACAATGTAAATACAGTTAATTTTAGGGTATTACCGGACCTTCTCTCGTTAAACTTATTAGTTATTACGATGTCAAGGATACCGGTGAGCACGTGCTCAACGGAAGAATAACTGTAAGAAGATGAACTGCATCGTCATTGGTTGTATTACCTAACTCATGTGTATAGACAGTGCAGTTAAAGGTTATACTACCAATAATTACCTAACTCATGTGTATAGACAGTGTAGTTAAAGGTTATACTACCAATAATTACCTAACTCATACGTATAGACAGTGTAGTTAAAGGTTCTACTACCAATAATTACCTAACTCATACCTATAGACAGTGTAGTTAAAGGTTCTACTACCAATAATTACCTAACTCATGTATATAGAGAGTGTAGTTAAAGGTTCTACTACCAATAATAACCTAACTCATACGTATAGACAGTGTAGTTAAAGGTTCTACTACCAATAATTACCTAACTCATGTGTATAGACAGTATAGTTAAAGGTTCTACTAACAATATACTTAATAATACCCACATAATACACTTAATAATACCCACATAATATACTTAATAATACCCACATAATACACTTAATACTTAATACCCACATAATACACTTAATAATACCCACATAATACACTTAATAATACACACATAATATACTTAATAATACCCACATACCACACTTAATAATACCCACATAATACACCTAATAATACCCACATAATGCACTTAATAATACCCACATAATGCACTTAATAATACACACATAATGCACTTAATAATACCCACATAATACACTTAATAATACCCACATAATACACTTAATAATACCCACATA